TATATATATATATATATATATATATATATATATATATATATATATGTATATATATAAATTTAATTTAACAAAATTATTAATTTCAAAGGATTAAATACATATTACAAACATCATTTATAATTTAAAATTTTCTTTTCATTACTTTATATTTACGTGATGGCGGTGGCGCTATTGGTGACAAGCATCGTTGACGATGGCCGCTGTGAGGTATGGATGTGATAGTACTATATAACTAGATAACTTCATTTTTTCCATTTCGAATTATTCAGTAAAGGTACTCTTTTTCTTTATTGTTTATTTACATAATAAATATACGAAAAGTTACAATATGATATTGAATCGTTTGCAAAATGTATTACTCCGGGTAATATAAACAGAAACACCTCACAGATATGTTCTTTCGCACTTTCTCCTTAAATTATTTTTTATTAAAATATTAAATAAAATATTAATAAAATTAATATCTATATGCCAGATTGGTAAAAGATTGCTTATAATGTTGTATTCAATTTTTAGTCACAGTAACAACTCTTATTTTGAGACTTACGATAGCTTTCCTTTGAAGTTAAAAATTTTGATGTATTTTTTATTTCGAATACAAACTATTTCTTTGCCATAAATTTCGTCATTATTGTGAAAAGCATAACTATCTAATCATTTGCGAATTCGTATGATTCTACTTTGATTTAATGTTTCGATCTTATTGTTAATACTAGTCAGACGTATCAGTTGCACTAAAAGACACATGGGAGAAACCGCCAAACATTTACGATATAGGACTAATATCGATTATGGAAGTATCAGCATTAAAGTACATGTCGACTTTATACTGTGTCCATGTATTGATTTTTTTCAGATATAAAATATGTAGGTGGGATAATTGGCAAATAAATGAAGAAACATCACTCGAATTTATCGAGATATAATCAATAACGGAAATGAATAAAAAAAAAATTAACATATATTTAAATTAACATATATATTAACATATATTTTGATTTTCATTTTGATTCTTCGAATGTTTATCTATATAAGTTTACCTATTTGATTATATTCATATGAGCGTTTCTTTTATCTTTTTCATCCCTCTACACTATACTAAATAATTAAAGTTTCTTATCAAATTCTTGTCAAAAGAAAAAAATAGAACAAGAAATTTCATGTGACATACGAAAAATGTTACTTTAATACATAATATATAGATTATTGAAAAATTAAATAATTTCCACTTAAATGACAATTTTATTTTAGACGATTTCAGTTAAGTTCAATTTAACTAACAAGTTGAGTCGATAAGCAGAATTGTTTATAAAAAATGTTCTGTCTATATAATTTGACCATTTAAATTTGACCATTTTTTGTTTTATGTGATAAACTAACAATTAATAATTTCATTTTTATCAATAAAATAGATGTTAGTAGATGTTAGTCAAAATAATAATTGTATTTTCCGTTTTAATTAAAATCGATTACATCTTTGTATGTCGTTAAAAATATTATAAATCATCACATTTACACTACTTGACAAAAAGTATGAATGTTATCTTTTTAAATTTTTTAATCAATTTTTTTAATCAATTTTATTGATACAGAATAATATAGTTTATAATATTATATGTATATGTGTAGCGTTGGTATTATAATATAACTATTGTTGTATAACAATATTATATAAAATTTGCATTACTCATTAATATGTCGAGTATGTATAATAATTTTATAAAATTTTATCTATATATACATGTACAGTATGTATATATACATACATATAATGCAAAATCATAGATATGACAAGATATATTGCGAACAATATAAAAAGTAATTATAATAATCTAATACATACAACTTATATATATTTTCTCTTGTCTATAATATTAATATTTATAAAATATTTATAAAATAAAGATTAAAATCTTCTCTTTCTCTCCGTGTATCCGCACACGCGAGAATGTGTCAATGTAAGTGGATTTTTGTAAATTCTTACGTAAATAGAATCTTCTGGAATCATTTCTTTGTTCAAGCAATTCGGTGATATTGTTACTTAAATATTCGTGATAAGAACAATGTCGTTTTCATGAATCGTGTAAATTTTAATCGATGATAATATAATTCTATAGTATTTCCATACGTCTCGATCGCAGCTAGAATTGATTAATTTTCAGTGGATCCAAGATAAGAATTGCACGCTGGACAATAATGTTTCTGTACCATGCAACTGTCCATGCAATAAGGACATGGTGCACAACACCAACACCTAGAAAAAATGTATTGTATGTTTAATATATGTTCTAAAGGATCATCTTATTTTATATTTCGAAATTTCTTACCCTATTATACACAGAAGTAGTGCAAACAAGTGTGTTTTCGTGTTTGCCTCTGAGTTTACACGTGTAGCTATACTTGCATGACAATGTGGACAGGTCATATGTTGACTTTCCTTGCCGAAGCCCACAGTCGATACAACATGTACCGTATCTGTGAAACACACGTTGATTTTCAAAATTATTAATTTCAGACGATTAGGTATGTATTACAAACATTATTCATTTTTCTATAATTTAAGATTTTATTATTTCATACTTACGTGGGGGCGGTGGCATCATTGGTGGCGGCATTGTTGGCGGTGGCTGTGGGTAAGGATATGGTGGTGACGTGTAACTAGGTGGGTCCATTTTTTCCATTTAGAATTAACTAGTTATTCTTTGATTGCCGTCTGTTTGCAAAAAAAAGATATAAACAGATTAGAATTTTATATGACGCCAAATCGTTCGCTCTTGGTATGTAAGAAAAACATTAGGTCATATAGATTATCGCAAATTTCACACGAACATAATTTTGTTACGTATCTTGATTTTGCAATCCCATATATTTTCATAATAATTATTCTTTTACATTTCGCTTCAATATATAAGATTATGATATTATTACAATGCAATTGAATAATAAGATTATGATATTATTACAACGCAATTGAAAAGGAAAAAAATAAATTAATAATTTGAAAGTGCAACAAACTTTAAGTTGAATTACGGCGTAATTGCAAATGTTTTGTTACCAGATAAAAATAGACCTATTTAGAGAAACTTTATTGTTCCAAGGACAGATCAATTTTAAGAAACAAAAAGCACATTTGACATATCACCTTGCAATTATCTCAATGATATTTCTATCGAATTCTTATATCGTTTTATATCGAGCTGCATATAGAAGAGGATGAATTAAGAGCGTATAACCCAATAAGCAAAACATACATCAATAATAAGTTGATTTATCTAGAAATCTAAACAAATTTGTTATGACTATCAGGTTGCATGTACATAAGACTATGTACTAGTTAACTGTGCAAACAATTATTTAATCAAACAAATTAACCTCGTATTTTGCCAGCAGAAAATGATGACTTTAGCAATAAATTGCTAGTAGAAATCAAACAGAATTTATTATTTTGTAAATGAAATATATTATTTAAATAATGAAAAATTAATAAAATGAAAATAATGAAATAAATTTTGTTCAATTTCTGTCAATTTTCCATTATATGTTATTATATTTTGGCATTCTGTAATAAATAAAATTTACAAATTTATACATATATGTATATGGAAAATTTATATCTTATATATGTGTATATGACAACACTATTTTATATAAATGTATATATGGAGTAGACATAAACGAATTATAGAGAAAGATTAAAATTTAAAATTTGATGAAAAATTGTAACCACAGCCAAAATTGTAACAATTCATTACTTTTTAGCAAATTATTAGTTTTTCAAAACTAATTTTCTCCATAATTATATTTAC